AAAGTTTGTCGGCTCCCGCTAAAGGGCAGGCGGCGCCCCGAGCCCCGCGCCCCGCTCCGGCCAAGGTGAGTTAGCTCCGCGCTCGGGCCGGCGCCAAAGCGGGATTGGGTGACTCGGGGTGGAGCCGCTCGTACAAGGCGGTCCTGGAGGCGCCCGCACCGCTCTCGGCGGGCGAGGGACTCCGCAGTTCCTGGGGGAGAGCGCGGGGCGGGAGCCAGGCCGGGTGGGGAGACGGGAGCCCCCGAGCGGGGAAGTTGCCGGTCCGAAGAGTTTCCTGCCCCGACGTGTGGGCTCTTTCCCGCTGCCTCGGTTTACAAAAAGACGCCCAAAAGGAACAGAGTTGGTATTGTCCACGGAGGACAGGATCCCCGCCGTTCCGGGCGGGGGGGAGAGGGTGCTGATCCAGGGGACACCCCAAGATGAGAAACAGGCTCCTAACAAAGATACCCTCCCCCACAAACTGTGCAGGCTTGGCACTGGCAGTGAGCGTCTCCCGAGACCCCCCCAGGCCCGACTCCTCCTCACCCCGGCCCCCTTTGAAACCCTCCTTGGGTCCTGGAGAAGTTGGGGGACGGCGGGCTTTTATTGATGTGTTCTTAAGGTTCGCAGCGGTGCAGCCAATAAAAGGTTTATGACATCTGACCAGCAGTGAAGGTATGCGAGCTCCCAATTGCCCTGTATGCAGGGAGAAGAGCAGTTTCCCCGTTGCTTGGCAACGCCGCTGATTGACACAGGACGCAGCCAATCGCCGCTCCCGCAGGTCCCCTTGAAATGTTTTTGACAAGTACAGTAGATGCTAGTGGAGCGCGTGCGTGTGTGCGCGCGTGCGCGTCGGAGAAGGCGGGGGGTGGGGTGGGGGTGGGGGTTGTTTAGCCCCCTCCCAACTCGCTGCCCTGTTAGGCTTGGGGAGGATTTCTCAACTTTTTAAAGTTCACTTCGAACATCTGTTCAGAGCTGGGCCAGTAATGGCTTTGTCAGTTATTTGGAGACATTCTGAGAGCGGACAAGAAACTAGCTTTCCTGCTACCTTTTCTCCGTTGAAAAGCAAAAAAGATAACGAAACACAAGTCATTAAAAAAAACGAGAGAGAGAGAGAGAGAGAGAGAGAGAGAGAGAGAATATGTTGTGGGACTGCAACCAATAGCAAACTGAGAAGTTGTAAGGAGGTCACTAGTGAATAACTATTAGAGTATATGATGTAGCAACCTTTTTGGCAGCAGATTCAAAATGTTTGTCTAACTGCAGATTCACATGATCCCAGATTCCCTCCCCACCTCACCCCCACCCCCCCAAATTGGGGGAAAAAAAGATTTGGCGAATTATGTAGTTTGAGTATAATAATGGAAAACTCAGCTGTGGTTTCTGGAAACTTTTTAAAAATGGAACTGGAGTGATCAGCAGCTCTTGATATTATGGCTATAGAATACGGGTTTATAGGGATGCCTTAACAGTTGGAGGGCATGGGCTGGGGAGAGACAAAAACAGGCAAACGATCCAAGGGAACTGAACCCTGTAACCCTGTTTTCTTAACCGTTCTTCTAAGAAAACCATATTGCTGGCAATGTTTGTTTAAAACAAAAGGAAACATGGAGAATAGCATGTTAGTTCCTTTGGGAAGCTACTGACAAACTAAAAAGAAAGAGAGCAGCATGTTTTCATAGCAACAATGCAATTAAATTACTGTCAGCCATGATATAATTTTCCTGTTTGGAAGCTCAGGAGACGAAAAACTTTCGTCGAGAGCGAAAGTTGACTTCAGTGGCTGGGTAGTAGTTCTCTTACGTACTCTACTGTGTGGATAATCCTAGTTATCTAAAAATTCGTTTTTTTATTGGGATCTGAGGAAACTTTGAGAGAGACAAACCTAGTTTTGATTGTTTTATAAAGAAGGTAAAAGCATTATCAGTCTGGTCTCTGTAAACCCCCAAGCCTCAAGATACTAGCTTATTCTTTAAAATGTGTCATGTGCTACTCAGGTTAGTACTAGTACATGACAGAAATAATAACATGGATGAACCTGAGGTATGCAAACTGTCCCTGTTCCATGGGACTTCGATGCCCATAGAAGTTTCTTTGGAATTGGTCATCTCACAGCAGTTCTAGAGAGTTCCCCCCAGGCCTTGAGTCAGCAGGTTCTGTTTGTCCACCTTTTGGAAGAGGGAGGGTGCACCCGGGGTTGGTTCTGGGGCACCTGGGGTTGGCTGTGTAGTGCTCCCACACTGTGCTTTCTAGAATCCCATTTTCCCCAGCTGAACTGGCAGTTGTTTTAGGCGTAGTGTCAGTGGACTTTTCGAGCCGTAGAGTAATCATATTCTTTGCTTTTGATGTATTCATTCTTTTTTTTTTTTTCTGGATAGATTGCTTGATCTTCTCACTTGTGGGGGGAAAACATAGAACAGACACATTGTTTGAGCGCTCCAGACGGAGAGTGGGAGACCTCTCTTCATTATCTTCGCTGTTCTTTATATCTTACATTGAGTGCCAGGGGGTCGGACAGCTTTGTATCTGCCGGGGTCATTCTATTTGTGGACTCGCCACCTCTTCAGTTTCTTTTCTCATCAGATATTTTACTCCCTGTTCTAGGTCATTGACAAAAATGGGGGCGGCAGCAGAAGAGAATTCTGTAGCAATTTTTGTTGAATTTGCCTTCCTTTCTTGAAGCTTCCCTTTTGCTCTCCTACTTTTTTTTCACCAATCCTAATTTCAGTTAATGGCTTGTCCTTCATATTCCCATTTGTGTGTGTGGTGCTTGCACTCTTCACTTTTTCATTCAGAATGTAGTGTCCCAATAAAATTAAATGCATTTATTGCTCTAGTTCGAATCCAGAATTCAAATGTAATTAAAGTTAAATGTAATTAAGTGTTTGATCACGACTTGTGGAGGGGAGGGGGGAAGTCAAATAAAACTTATTAAACTGATGCATACTGTGGCCACAGTTTTAATTCGGGGGTCGTTGTGATGGATGGTCCTTGTATGGAAACTCTGAAAACACTGGCCTTAAACTTAGAGGCATTTTCTTTTTTTGAGAATGGTTAACAGTGAGCCCTGTGACCCCAAGCCACAGAGAGGGGTTGTGCATTGAGCTTATTAGGTAGAGTTTAATCACGAGGCTTGAAATATTTTTACTTGTGTACAGCGGGGCCTTGACTTACGAGTTTAATTCGTTCCGTGACGAAGCTGGTAACAAATTACTCGTATGTCAAATCAAAAAGTGAACGAGTGAGACACGTGATGCTGGGCTGATGTTGTGGCGTTCACTGTGACGTTCGCTGCGCCAACTAGCGGTGGGGTATCTGAAGCTGGCTCGTAACCCGAATTTTAGCTTCCAACTCAAAGCAAAAAATCGGCCGAAAAACTCGTTAGTCGGGACACTCGTAAGTCAAGGCCTCACTGTATATGTGTTCATGTGTAATAGATGAACTGAGGCAGCAAGAAATAACTGATTTTCCCAGGGTCCTAGTGAGAGTGTTCGTAGATCCAGGGAGAAGGCATTGTGGACTTTCCCATTCTTTTTATGGTGCGTTTGCACATTAAAGGTGCTGGAGATATTTCCAGTATTGATGTGTTGAGGAGTGACAGTCACTGCGCTGTATGCACGATAGACCGATTTTACTTCCTGTGCATCTCTGTGTGGTAGAATTGTGGGTTTGCATTCCTTGGGGTAGGAGCCATGAGGTGTGTTCCTGTGTGGAAGGGGGTTCGTAGAGGGGGCAGCGGTGGGGGTGGGGACCAAAGCACTAGGAGGACTCAGCTGCCTTTCCGGTTTGGGTTTCACTGACTCTTCTTCTCTGTGGAATGTGTTTCCCAGGAGCCTTCACCTAAATGGGTCCAGTCATGCCTCCCAGTAAGAAGCCAGAAAGCTCAGGAATTAGCGTCTCCCGCGGGCTGAGTCAGTGTTACCGGGGCAGCGGCTTCTCCAAGGCCCTTCAGGAAGACGATGACCTCGACTTTTCTCTGCCCGACATCCGATTAGAAGAGGGGGCCATGGAAGATGAGGAGCTGACCAACCTGAACTGGCTGCACGAGAGCAAGAACTTGCTGAAGAGCTTTGGGGAGTCGGTGCTCCGGAGCGTCAGCCCCGTCCAGGACCTGGACGATGACACGCCCCCGTCGCCCGCCCACTCTGACATGCCCTACGATGCCAGGCAGAACCCCAACTGCAAGCCCCCCTACTCCTTTAGCTGCCTCATATTTATGGCCATCGAGGACTCTCCGACCAAGCGCCTGCCAGTAAAGGATATCTACAACTGGATCTTGGAACATTTCCCGTATTTTGCAAATGCACCTACTGGGTGGAAAAACTCGGTGAGACACAATTTGTCGTTGAATAAGTGTTTTAAGAAGGTGGACAAAGAGAGGAGTCAGGTAAGTCTCCGTGTCTGGAACTCGAATGTTTCCTTTTTCTATCTAAAATTTTTAGTTTCTCTCCATTAACAAATTGTTAAGGACTGTAAAGTCCCCACACTGAAGGGGCATTTGTAAATGGGTACTTTGATTTCATTCATTTACTTGTAAACGTCCTCTTCCTTAAGCGTATTAATTAAATACCGTTTTTCGTGTTTGTGCTGACTTGAGGTTTTCCCACTGTGGCATCTGAACATAATCACAAAACAGTGGTGTGCACACTGCCTGCTTCTTCCCTCAGTGTGGATGGGTCAGTTTGGGTTTACAGCACAAAGGGGCAGCCATTAACCATGAGGTGTATGAATATATTTTTGAGGAAAATTGCCAGAAAGGGATAGGGGAAAATGGCATCAATTTTCTTTCTGAATTTGAACTTGGAGAAGGGCAGTCTCTCTGGGACCCTGGAGCACATGGACAGCAGTGGACACTGGGAGGCGTCATACTTGAGCCTATTATGCACTAAACAAAGGCAGGCATGAATTGCCCAGGTGACTTTTTGTTTTTTGTTAATTCTCACCAGAGGATATTTTTAGAGAGAGTGGAAGGGAGGAGGAGACACACAGAGAGAAACATCTATGTGTCTCTCAAATCGATTGGCTGCCTCCTGCACATGGGGCCGGGGATCGAGCCTGCAATCAAGGTGTGTGTCCTTGACCGGAATTGAACCCAAGACCCTTCAGTCCAAGGACTGATGCTCTATCCACTGAGCCAAACCAGCTAGGACTCAGGTGACTTTTGAAACCCGGTGTTTACCTAAGTGTTTGGAACTTTGGAACTCCCTGAATAGGAAAAATTAGCGCAGGGTAAAGTTCCCACGAGAGACTGACTTAAAGAAAGATTGAAGTTTGGTTTTAAAGCTTTTGAGCTCCATGGTCCACTAGAAGGAAACAGCTTTAATAATCTGCTTTGCCTTTCTCATAACGATATAGCAGGTACAATAGAAAGCAGGCCAACTGTGAGAGTTGGAACAGAAAATGGTGATCTACCTTGGCGTTCTGAAAGGTAATGCTGCTGCAGTTACAATAAGCGGCCAGAAAGCGCTCTCTCCACAGTGACCATGCGGCTGTGTTTTCCAGCTTTGTTTTTCATTAATAGCGCTGATGGTCTGCATTCCCTCCTTTTGAAGTTCAGGTTCAGACACAGGACCGCTATTGTGTGGGGTCAGCCGCTGCTGTGCAGGGGTGGGACCATCTCTTTCTCTCCAGAAACATGTTGCTGTTTCCATTAGAATCTTGAGCCTGAGAAAATTCTATTTGTCAATGGCATGGATGATTACGAATAAGGAGGTGGTGGAGCCATTTTTCTCCTCGCTGCTGCTGGACACGTTTGTCTGCAAATGCTATTCACCTAGAGTTTATGTTCAAGGTGGGGAGTGGGCAGCGTGCAGGGTGTGAGGAGGGGCGATGCCTGGGAGGGGCAGATGTGGACCCTGGGAGCTTTGCCTTTGGTCCCTGGTACAGGTGATGCCTCAGTGCGGTGTTCTTATGTGAGCATTCCTGTGTTCTGGGCCCGTCCTTCGCCAGGGCCTTATTTTTACACGCCTGAAACTACCTGTAACAATTGTAGGGTGCTGCCCTTGTCCCCAGGTATCCACTTTTCTTCCTCCTCCCTACCCTCCCCATCTCAGAGTGGGCATTTGGAGACCAACCTCTAAACTTGGCTCTGTTGAGTGGTTTTTTGTTTTTCTGTTTTTGGTTTTTTATTAATTTCAGAGAGCAAGGGAGAGGGAGAGAGAAACATCAATGATTGAGAGAGGATCATTGATTGGCTGCCTCTGCACTCCCCCTACTGGGGATTGAGCCTGCAACCTGGGCATATGCCCGGAATCTAATCTGGGACCCTTCAGGCCGCAGGCCGACACTATCCATTGACCCAAACCAGCTCGGGCACTCTCTTGAGTGTTTTGAGACCATTCTTTGAACTTAGAGAAAATTCGCTGCTTTCATGTAAAGGGCCAAGTCTGGTATTAAAAGCTCCCGCGTAGGTGGGTCCTGGTGATGAGAAAGGGAAAGTCCTAGAAAGCAATTTCAGGGTAGAATGTGGAGGAGAGAGTGGTATTCAGGTCCCCCAAAGCCGCATGTCACTGTTTAGGTTGGGCACAGGGCTTTTAGTTTGGCGAGAAATGATTGTGCAAGTCGCCACGTGCCCCGGTCTCGCTGTTTGCAGTCCTGCTGGTGCGCGTAATTCAGCAAACACACTGAAATGTTCAGCGAGCTGCCCCAGAGCATGCAGAGCCTGCTTGGGTCCCTCTCTGGCCGTGAGGGTGGCACGTGGGTGTAGGGTGGTCTGTCCTGGAGAACCCTCTCCCCGATGCACCCCGATGTAAAGGGGTGACAGTTGTTCTGAATAAATGCAGTTATCACCTGCTAAGAGGGAATGGTTTGAAGGACCTAAGATTGTGAATCTTACGAAATGTTGAGCTCTGGCTTCCTAGCCACGCTGCTGACCTGCACTGACATGTTTCTGATCAGATGCCATCAGTTTTGCCTTGAGAGTTTGTTCCCAGGGTTTGTGGTGCTCTGAGAACAAAACAAGGAGTATGGGTTTTCTTTCCATTTTTCTCCTCTTTCATGGGGTTGCCCTGGGGGTAGCTGGGGGCCACTCTGGGACGCCTAGCCTGCCAGGGACTTCCTGTCCCCTGGCGAGCTGAGCAAAGCGGAGGCATTCCCCTGACACTTTGCCCAGTGAAACCTCCTTCACCTTTCCAGGTAAGCTTGTTTTTTCCCCAGGGGATTTTACTTGGCGGCAGCTCCCACACTGAGGTTCAGCTGCGGCACCTGACAGTGACTAAGTGCACCCGAATATTGGTGGGAAATAGGGGAGCAAAAGGGGAGCATGGACGCCTTGCACGTTGTATTCACAGACTTAGGCATTGCGCTTTTTCAAAGATTTAAAAGTGCAGAACACGGTTTTAAACTTGCCATAACTGTGAGAACACAGAATGCTGTATGATCCTTGCCCCGAGGGTTGGAACATGTACCCTTCTGGACAAGTGTGTCGCTGGGGCGTTGGCACGCAGGAACGTACGACTGCATCGGAATCACCTGTGGCTCTTAAAATCCAGGGCCGTCTCTCGGCCCCTCCCTGGAGATTCCGATTCAGTGGGGGTGAGGTGGGTTGGGGAAATTCGGGGTCCTAGTAAGCTGTTTTCACGGGTGTTTCTGACGTGTAGCCAGATTTGAGAATCCCTCAACGAGAAGCTTTTGGGTTCTTTCCAGTGCTGAGATTTCATCAGGAACATATTCTCATGAATGAGCAAGTCGGGGAGAATAAATGGTTTTGCTTCCGTTTTATCTCTGTCTCTCCCTTTTTTTGGTTTTACCTCTTGAAGGAACTTAAGAGAGTTTTATTTTTATTTTTTAACCATGGAATTGAGGACCTTTGCCCGAATCAATCAAGGTAGAGTTTCAGAGTTGGAGATTAAGTCTTATACCTCCTAAAAAAAGACCTTAGTTAGGACTATAAGATTAGCAAGTACTACACTTTCTGACTACTTATAAATGAGAGTAAAGGGCAGTTATTTATTTATTTTTATCACCTGAATAATAAATGGTTCAGGTATGTGTGTTTTTATCTGTGCTTTTTCTCAACTTCCCTCTTGACACTTTAACAAACATACACACACATTGCTCTTTGAAAGACTGTGCAGTCTGCCTGGCCAGTGTGGCTCCGTGGTTCAGCGTTGACCTATGAACCAGGACAAGCATGTCAAACTTGCGGTCTGCCGGCTGCAAGTTTGACATGTTTGAACCAGGAAGTCACGGTTCAATTCCCGGTCAAGGCACATCCCCAGGTTGCAGGCTCCATCCCCAGTGTGGGGCATGCAGGAGGCAGCTGATCAATGATTCTCTCTCATCATTGATATTTCTATCTCTCTCTCCCTTTCTTCCTGAAATCAATAAAAATATTTTTTCTTTTAAAAGAGAAAGACTAGTCTGATGTTGATGAGCAGGTTCCTAAAACTCAGGGTACTGTAGGATGGTGGGACATGCAAAAACGGGATGAGGTGTGTAAGAGTGGTCTCTGGGGCAGGTGATGATCCTGTTTCCTCCCTGAGCTGGTCCTTCTGGGTCCACGGGCCTCATGGATGAATCTACCCAGTCTCTCCCCACATTAACGGTTCAGAAAACGTTGCATTCTCTTGGGCAGGGCTTTGTGGTACCTGGGTGAGTCTATGAGGTTCTTCTTCGTGGATGTACTGCCTACATATCTGACCAACAAGAAACTGTTCTCAGCACCTCCCTGTTGAGCTGAAGAGGCTTTGGGATTTCCCTTTGAAATCACTTTAGCTGCAGGATAATTCTCTGCAGTAAATAACATAGGAAGTTGGCACACTGACCTCCTATTTGAAAGTCATGAGTTTTGCTGCTTTCACAAATAGTGATGGGTTATTTGGATTATTCCATACTCTCTCACGGAGCCCTTCGTCATCTTAATGCTCTTCTTAAACCTTGGCAAGGTGATGGCCGGTTTTAGATTTTATAGAAAATTCCACGGCCTTCCCAGTGGACATTTTTTGGTACTTGACACAGACGATGGATATGTATATTTTAAAGCCTAATACAATATTTGTTTTGATGATACTGTGCTTATTAGGCAGGCAGGCCTTTTGTTTTTACAGATTTTGGCTTCAGGATCCTTAAAGTGTTTTATTCTTATTCCCACCCTTGTCATTTTTCACTTAACTTGCTGCTTCCCAATGAGTACACCTCACTGTCCCTGTAACAGTTTATCCCTTGCCTACATTTGTTTCCGCACCAGCTTGAAGTTTCCCGAAGTTTCCTGATGTAGGGGTCTACTTAGGTTGTTCCTGTGGAATGCTTCCATGTTAGTAGGCCTCAGGATCTCATTATTTACAGTTTCTGGGACTTTGAGCACCCTCTGCTTATTATTCAATAGAATTAGTTGGTGATGTCCAAGGTTAAAATAAAACATGAGATCTGGTTCTTACCTTTTAGGAA